TCCAAGTCAGTGGTAAGTCCCCTGTTGACTCTGATGGGCTTTGGATTGGGTCCTTACAAAGGATCTTACAACCTTAGGGACCTCAGACCAACATCTCTTCCTGCCCCGTGTTCCCTGCATATTTCTTTATAGACGGAACTGTCCGTAACATCCCTTTCTCCCTCATCTGCTCCTCCCCAGCAAACTGTGGGGAGCAAGGTGTCGTTGGAGAAGGAAGATTTAGAAATATTGGGGGAAATTTGGGGAAACGCTACTAGAGCTTTTTCAGGCGACTCGATCTCCAGACCTAGGGGAATAGAGAACGCCGAATGGAAAAAATCTGTAACCCTCTGGTCTAGACCTACCTGCAAAAGGGAGGCTGGTATTGTAAAAAAGAGAGAGGTCCTGAGATCAGGAGCAAGGGGACCTCGTGGAGAACAGAGCTACAGTTCCTGCTCTCCATAACTGCAGGGAGTGAGTGTTTGCTGGCTGCATCTCAGACTCCCACATAATATTCCAAGGAGGTCAGAAAACTGCCGCACAATTTTTCCATTTGTGCTCACATGAGACCCAGGCCCAGGATAGCCAGGTTGGAGGCAGGTCAGAACTGAGGTGCATTGGCAGAGCTGGTGAGGGAATGCTGGGTGCTGGCCAGGGTCAGTTCCTTATTGTTTGGAGAACATTACGTTCAATCACAATTTTGGGAAAAATAAAGAACAGAGGGAACTATATGGAAATCCCGCTCTGGTCTGTGCCAACTCCCTCCTCTCCCTGCTGTTATCCTCAGCAGCCCTTGGGCTCTTCCCCACTGCCTGATGATGCAGGCGTGGCCCCGGGTCATGTCTCATGAATGTTTCCCTATGAATGATTTCTTCACAGATGGGAGCAGCACCGTGCACAGACCCCAGCCCCTGCCACCATCCACCATGCACCAGGGAGGGCTGGCAGCCGCTGCCGCCGCTGATACCAGTTCTGCCTACGGGGCCCGACACAGCTTCTCCAGCTACTCGGACAGTTTCATGAACCCTGCAGCTCCTGCCAATCACATGAACCCTGTCAGCAACGGCCTCTCTCCACAGGTACACAATGCTCTTCCATTCTTCTTCTCCAAGCCAGGAGCCTTTGGTGAGCCCAGACCCTACGGGAGAGGGCAGGCTCTATGCGATCGCTGTCCAACACTGTTACTGAATGAGTTGTTGTTGCATGCTCTCAGGGAGCCCAGATCTGTCTGTCTGTCTGTCCATCCATCCATCCATCCTGAGTTTATTGCCACAGCATCTGAGCATCTGCAACCTGTAGCAAAGCTTAGATCCTGTGTTTGAGATGTCACACTCTGCTCCCAAGTATCTAGAGACTCGCTTGAGTCATCGAGTTGAGGGTTGGCTGGAACAGGGTTAGGGGGGTTATTCCAGCCCATTACAGAGGTGGGCCGGGCTTTGAAGTTCCCATGCCCACCAGGGTCTGAACTTCCTCAAAGTTCAGGGATGTCTGGGCCTGGGATTTTGGTTCCCAGTCTCTACCAGGAACTAATTGTGATGTAATCGATTTTCTTTATGACCCCATCATACATAAGAAGAGCTACATGAACTGTGAGAGAGAAAACACATATTCCCCATATATTTGTTCAAATAACAATAGAGCACATCTGTATTGAACTTACCGGGCCAAACTCATACCTGGTGCAACACCACTGATCTCCAACTCCCTTCCTTGAGCTCCGTATAGAATGTGGGACTCCTGACAACCATCCCCTGCCCCAACCACTAGACTAACCTGCCACTAGACTAAGTACTGGGGGCTCAAATATTCACAGGGCTAGATCCACAGTTGGTGAGCGCCATTGAAGTCAATGGAGTTATAAGGATTTCGACAAGCTGAGAATTTGGCCCACCCGTCTCTTACACTAGCTCATCTGGAATATTAACGCTAATTTTCTGTCAATCCAACATACCCTCAGCCTTGTCAGACAGAGCATTTAATTCTCTTAGAATCATAGACTATCAGGGTTGGAAGGGACCTCAGGAGGTATCTAGTCCAACCCCCTGCTCAAAGCAGGACCGATCCCCAACTAAATCATCCCAGCCAGAGCTTTGTCAAGCCTGACCTTAAAAACCTCTAAGGAAGGAGATTCCACCACCTTCCTAGGTAACGCATTCCAGCGCTTCACCACCCTCCTAGTGAAAAAGTTTTTCCTAATATCCAACCTAAACCTCCCCCACTGAAACTTGAGACCATTGCTCCTTGTTCTGTCATCTGCTACCACTGAGAACAGTCTAGATCCATCCTCTTTGGAACCCCCCTTCAGGTAGTTGAAGGCTGCTATCAAATCCCCCCTCATTCTTTTCTTCTGCAGACTAAACAATCCCAGTTCCCTCAGCCTCTCCTCATAGTCATGTGTTCCAATTCTCTTCTTCTCTGACATGTCATACTTTGGCTGCCATATGCATGTTTACTTTTAGCGGTAGTAAGACACCTATCATATGTTAATGGGTGACAATAATGACTTGTACTCACATAGCTTCTATTATCCTGAAGGATACCAAAGTGCGTTGCATTCTTGCTCTTTCCTATCACTGAAATACAACTATCTGGGAGGTGATATATGGCTGTTATTTAAGGACTTGTCTACACGGTGGAGTAAGGTGCACTACAGGATTTAGATTTCTAAAGTGCACTAATGTATTGCGCATTAACTGGTCCATGTGGACCCTGCTGGTGTGCACGGAAAGCTTGTTAGTGTGCTTTAACATAGTACCGGGTCACACAGTAAAAGCGTGCTCAGCAGCACTGTTTAAGACAGGAAGTGCAGGATCATTTATTTAACTGCAACTACAGGGAGATTTTCAGCAGGTGTTTGAAATGAAAAGGTTGGAACTGTTTAGTTTAGAGAGGAGGCAAATAAGAAGGTAGAATAGAGGTATATAAAACAGTTACTTGTCTAGAGAAAGCAAATATAATACAAGAATGTGTGGATAGTCAATGAAACAATACAACACATTCAAAACTCATACAAGGACAAACTTTTAACACAATGCATAATTAATAGGGCTGGTTGGAAAAACTTTCACTGAACCCTTTCCCATTGGATAATGCAATTCTGTCAAAATCGTGTTGATTTTGCTGAAATTTTATTTAGGAGGAAAACAGCAACAACAACAAAGTTCCTACAGTGCTAAAATGTCCCAGTTCATAGATTCCTAGATTCCAAAATCAGAAGAGACCAATGTGATTATCTCGTCTGACCTCCTATATTACACAGATCAGAGAACTCCCCCAAAACAATTCCTGTTTCAACATTTGTGGAACTAAATGTGTAGAATTTTTTTGTTTTGAATGTTTTGATATTTTGTTTTGAAATGATCTTTCCTTTCAATTGTTTTGTATTATATTATATATTGTAATATATTTTTTAAAAGTCAACATCTAAATGAAAGTTTACAATTGATCCAAAACAATATTTTTTTCTGAATTTTCCAGCATGGAGAATTTTGAAATGTTTGGGTTTGAGTCTGATTCTGAACAAAGCCACATTTTGAAATGTCAAGATTCTTCAGGAAATGAAATTTCTGTTCTCCACCCATCTCCAATAATTAGCCTGTGGAACCCATTGCCACAAGAGATCATTGATCTCCTTGGAGATGTGACAACTTACAAAAGCTGTCCCAGAGTATGGACTGCTCAAGAAATGCACTAACAAAAAAAGGAGTCTGGGTAGGGACCCCTTTATGACTCTGCATATAGAGAATAGGTGATGGTATGATGTATCTAAATATATTTGCCTGTTTTGGGAATAACCACATTACTCACAAATGAAGAAGCCTCACGTGTGAGCTGCCCAGGTCATCTCAAATGCATTCCAATACAACATTTACCCTACACCACAGTATATCTTGATTCTCCACCATTTGTTATGGAAAAACTTCTTTTAGAAATGCTTTTTAAAGGATTGCTGGTATTATTAATACTTAGCTTTTATACAGCACTTTTCATGCATAGATCTCAGAGCACCATACCAAGGAGGTCAGTATTATTGTCACCTCTTTATATATGGGGAAA